TAAAAGGTGTGAAAACACAAAAACAACCGATCACGTTCAGGGTCATCAGGAGACATGATTAATAAACTCGTAGAGAAATCTGAAGTATGCGCTGAAGATGTCGCCTAGTAGGGCGGTGAAAGCTTCGCAAATTAACTATCCAGCTCAGAGAACACAACCACATCAAAATCACTCGAGTTTATTTATTAGTCATACATCTCCCTATATATAAGTGTATATAGAGTATTCGGTTGACAAGAAAGTCTACATAAATTTACTGGATTTATTACTAATATGACCATTCTTATTACTGAATTCCTTGTACTACAAACCGCTATTTTCATTTAGCTCTACAGATGACCACAAGCATTTGTTTCTGCCTTCAGATTATTTCCCCAGATGTCACCTTTGAATGTGATGAATTCATTAAATCCTGTCTTGGTAACAATTGTCACTCTGTTTTGAATTCTTCTGGATTAGATATAATTTCTACTCTGAACTGTAATGCATAATTTACGGTTTTATCTGAAATAAAGCAGAAACGAATGTTTGTGCAGAATAAAATGAGGTCATCATTTATCTCGTTGATTTCTCTTCAACTGTCACAACGTAGAAGGTAAACAAGTGTATACTCAGAGAAATTTTGGCATACTTGAAAGGATTACATGATTTTTGGATAACAGAGACAGAAGAATTAACAATTAGTGCAAAGAGGTTAAATTTTGATAAAATCTCACAGTGGTGTTATACACTAATGTTTACTGATGACCACGTTTCGAGGACAATCTAATACTGCCCATAATCATATCAAGGTACTCACACGACTTCCTAACTTCATTTATGTAGTTCCATTGTTTTTCATTTGATTGGATGGGTAGTAGTATTTTCCATATTTCGGGTAGGAGTGATGAATCATTTGTATTGCATGTGTTGGGTGTAGACTCGATGAACCAGGCAGGATTCAGTAATCAACGTCTCTCTCTCTCCACCTACATAGATTACTTCTTAGAATTTTAACCCTCTCCCACCCACCCTGTTGTGTGGTTGTGTGTTAATGCATGCATGCAGTGCAATTGCTGAGCATTTTCCTAAATTATTTATCTTCTCAGGGTCAACCATTCTTACCTTAGCTAAATTCTTATGTTCTGACAATCTAACTACCCCCGACCTACTAGTTTGACCTATGTAGTTGACTTAACTCACAGTCATTGCATGGTATTTTGTTAAGTATATTATTTTGTCTAATTGGGTCAACCGAGTCCTTTAACCTACAGAGCTTGCTCCTGAGTGAGATTGTAGGTTTAAATGCCACCCTAATTCCTGCTTAATTTAGAATCCTATGTAGGGTTTCAGATGTCCCCTCATTATATGGTATAACTGTAGATGACTTATATTCTCTCTTATTTACGTTATTATTACTAGTTTCACCATTATTTTTAGTTTGCGTTTGACCTTTTCTGGTCTTCCTGATGAATTTTAAAGGATAGTTATTCAACACAAACGCCTCTTCTCTCTGTTTTATTTCATCATTTAGGCTTTTCTTGTGCTACTTAGTGCGATCGCTCGGTTTGTTAAACACTCAGCTAAGCCTGCCTTAACAGTCAACGGATGAGATGAATTAAAGTCTAAATATCAAATCAAGTGAAAAACAATAGAACCATATGAATGAAGTTAGGAAGTCGTGTGATTACCTTGATATGATTATGAGCAGTAGTAATAAATTGTGCTCGAAACGTGGTCATCAGTAAACATTACTGTATAACACGACTGTGAGACTATATCAAAACAAAAAATTTACCCATAATGGAATTACACTCTACTACAGTGCACAAGTTTTATTCTTATATCAAAGAGGTTAAAGTTTAAACAAAATACATCTTAGATTTCATACATTTGGTTCCCTTGATAAATTTGATTAGTAAGGGCACTGTATGACATGGCCAGGAAGTGATGTTCGCCTAACACGAGAGAAGAAGAATTAAGCTTTGTTGAAAAATGCCTTAAGGAAAACGGGTATCCAAAAGGATTTATCCTAAAGTACAGTAAAGAAAGAGATGAGAAAGAGAAGTCTCCAACAGTTGAGAAGAGGAAAGTGTTCATTCGCCTCCCATACAAAGGAGAAACCGTATCGCAAAAGATTGAAAAGAGGATGAAAGGAGCAATAAAGAGATGCTTCCCTGAAGCCAATTTGGTGACACTATACAGCAAGTACTACACGCTCTATAAGGCAATCGAAACTGGATAAGTACCCTGCTGATGTTACCTCCAACTGCATTTATAAATTTATGTGTACCTGCGGCAGCAAGTTCATTGGAAGGACAGAAAGAAGGGCTTCTATCCGGTTTTCAGAGCATATTCCAAGTAACTTATGCTTAAAAGGAAGCAGATATTTACAAAGTGCAATTACCAGACACCTTGTGGATACAGGTCATTTTGTTGAGATTTCCAAATCCTTCAAAATATTAAACATACAAACGACAGCTAATCTACTATGATTTGCTGAAGCAATTGCAATCAAACGTCAAAGGCCAAACTAATGCATACAAAAAGAGAGTGTAGTCAATCTCTCACTCCCTTGGTAACTCCATATCACTTTCATTACACTAGTGAGTTCAACTCACTAAGCAAGTTTTCAACTGATGAACTTTGACCTTCTTGAGTTGCCATGTTGACACTGTTTATTAGATTTTTCTGTTTTCTGTCTTCTCTCACCCCCCCCTCTTTATTCTTTTGTCATAGTTTGACAGTATATAAATTGATAATGACTTAGATTATAATACTTATATTCCAGATGCGTTTCACCTTATAATGTCTTCTCTATTACCTTCCAAACAATGAAGTATGAAATGTTATTATATTTATAACCATTGTAACTTCAGGTAGTTTGCAGCTGATGAGAACCTGTGAAATAGAATGATGATATCATTGTATACTGCAAATCTGGTATTTCTTTCTCTATCAAAAAAAACCACATCTTAGATTGGTTACTGGATTTCATCATGAGCTGACACAGGTTAGAGAACCATTGGAAAACCACCAGGCAGGGAGTACTGCAGACAGCCAGCTGTTTCGTCAGCCTAGTTTGGGACTAACCTTCAGCAGTACGCACCCACTACCACAGTTCATACCCACCACATTCTGGTTATAGAAGGTGAACTAACTCCTAGACCATTAAACCACTGGGACCCGATCCAATGGTCAGCCTATGAATTCCATTCAAATGCCTTAGATTCTCTGAACATGTATGAAAAAGCTTACGTCTAAAAAGACGAATTACTTTGAATAATGCTGTTGCTAGACATGTTGTTGATATAGGTCATAAGGTGTGCACGGCGAAATCTTTTAAGGTTATTAAAAGACAATACGACTCAATTCTCTGCAAATTTACGTAAACAATCGTTGTCAAAAAAGTGTCACTTACCAGTTTCTCCTTGCTCTAATACCTCAGCACTTGATCTCTTCCTCTAATTTGCTGATTACATAATCTTTTACTTTATCGTAATTCGGTTTGTCCATTTTTCGCTTCTATGACTCAATCTAAACTCATCACACTATTACGAAGTAACTGGTGAGTTACTTATCATCAACTTCGCTATCATTGTCTTGATTGTACAACACGACTGGCAGAAGTTGGAATTCATGGGTTAGCTGTTGAATCAGGTATACGATCTCGATAACCTTGTAACCAGAAGGTCCTGGTTTCAAAACCTAGCGGGTGGTGCTCCTGCCTGATGAAGAGTCCAAGTAGGCTGACGAAACAGCTGTCTGGCAGTACCCCTTGCAGGTTTTCTAATGGTTCTCTAAACGATGTCAGCTCATGATGAAATCCTGTAACTAATCAATCAAATCTCTACAAACGATTACTTGAAACTCAATTTTCAATGTATGCGACCATTAATTTTGTATGTTTTTATTATAAGTTGACTTTTGACTTCTTAGTATAATTTTCAAGTGTAAGTTTTGTAGGGATTTTGTTTAATTGCATAAGGCAGTAACTCATCAAAGAAGACGTTGCGAAGTAGTCGCGCTCTATATCATGAATTAGCAGAAGTTAGAATTCGAGGACCATTAGATCGGGTCCAGTGGCTCAATGGTCTACGAACTCGCTAGCCTTGTAAGCAGAAGGTCCTGGGTTCAAATCCCTGAGGTGTGTGTACTGCTGAAGAGTCCCAGGCTAAGAAGAAACAGCTGTCCAGTACTCCCTGGCAGTTTTCCAGTGGTTCTCTAACTGATGTCAGCTCATGCTGAAATCCTTTGTATAAGTTTGCATAAGTTTAACTTCTAAGCATTGTAAACTAATATTGTTTATAAATCATCTCCAACCAAACTTAAATGATAACAAAACAAGTAGTTCAGTGAAGAGAATGTTTTCAGCGAATTCATTCTCTTCTCTAGCTGTATTCTCGCATTTGTTTACATAATATTTTCATGAAAAAAAGGTCAGTAATAAAAGTGATGAGTTGTCACAAACATAAATGTTAATATT